TATTTACAACTTACGAGGCCCTAAATTTCTAAATAATCAGAGCAAACTAAAGGGAAGACACGCCATCTGAGTGGAATTTCTAGCCTAATTCTAGTTTGTACTAAAACACAAGGCAGAAAGCCAGAACCGCATAGCAGATGCACTCAGTTGTCAACATCCATTGATCACAACCATGCAGGCTCGAGTTGTAGGCTTCGAGGTCATAAGAGATCTACATGAAACAGACAAAGATTTTAAAAACATACGAGAAAAATGTCAGGTGGAGCCAACAGAGCAATATTATCGAGCAAATGGATGCATGTTCCACAAGAGTCAGTTATGCATTCCCCAGTGTTCACTAAGGGAGGTCATTCCCCAAAAAGGCCACGACAGAGGACTAGTAGTTCATTTCAACAGGGAGATATTTTTTTTTTTTTTTTTTTTTTTTTTTGGCCAAAGCTAGTGAGAGATGTAGAGCGACACGACATGTCAGGCAATGGAAGATTTGTCATTTGGCGAAGATAAGAGCTCAAAGTGTAGGATTATACACAACACTTCCACTAGCAGAGGCAACATGGTGGACGTCAGCATCAAGTTTGTGTTTGAACTTCCAAAGACTCAAAGGAACAAGGACTCCATGATGGTCTTAGTAGACAAATTATCCAAAATGGCTCGTTTTATACTTTGTCAATGGACACTTGACACCTCTCACATCGCCAATCTATACTTTAGGGAGATTGTAAGATTGCACGGAATTCCTAAGACCATCACCTCCGACAAAGACGTCAAATATTGAACCACTGTTGAATGACACTGCGGGTAAAGCTTGGCACCAAAATCCAATTCAGCTTGGCAGCGCATCCACAAAAAGACGGACAGAGGTCGTAAACCGGAGCCTCGGGAATCTCCTGAGATGTTTCGTGGTAATAAACATAAAACAGTGGGATCTTATTCTAGCCCAAGCAGAATTTGCCTATAATCAATCCATCAGCCAAACTACTAGACGAACTCCCTTCGAGATCGGACGCAATCCTCTCTCACCACTTGAATTAGTGTCACTCCTATCATCTTCAGAAATCAACAAGGACGCCACAAAACGAGTTGATGAGATTCAAAGCAAATAAATCCAGGAAGAAAGTAACGTTTCGGGAAGGGATCTCGTATGGATTCGACTGAAAAAGGAAAGATTTCTCGTAGAAGCATTCAGGAAGCTTAAGCCAAGAACAGATGAACCTTTCAGAGTACTTCAGAAGTTGAACAACAACACTTATAAAATCGACTTGCCTGGGAACCATACATTGAAGATCCTAGAGCTTCGACATACAAGGTTGACGATTACTCAACCCCGGGAGACTGACGCACCCGTGTGCAGGCGCTAATTGCGCCCCGACACGGGGCACTTCATTCCCACGGGGCAAGAACTGTCGTGTTACTTCGCGGGAACTCCCACAGGGGCCAGAAGCCCCATTATGTGTCGCGGGAACTGAGGGCAGGGCGGATCGTGATCCCGCGCACGCAGAGTGAAGGTGGATTGAGAACTATCGCAATCCAGGGGGTCTGCTTCAACCGTCTTTTTTGGGAAGGTTTTTTTCTTGATTCTTCTTACCTTCCCACTCTCTTTCTTTGTGTAGAAGCGTCCTCCGTCCGAGGGGAGCCTATAAATTATCGTCTCCTATGTGTGAAGAGTCTGCTGTAGTGGAGTTGCCATCCCACTCTCTTCCTTTATGTAGAAGCGTCTAAGTTATTGTCTCTTGTGTGTGAAGAGTCTGCTCTAGTGGAGTTGTCTTCTAATCTACTGTGTAAAATCTCTTCCCTCTAGTTAGGGTTGTATCTGATGACACATGGTGCTTCAGTTGTATCCTGCTCCAAGGTAATGTTGTAAACTTCATATCTCCTTCGCTTCCTCTCACCGACCACTTTTTTACCTCTCCTTCCTCTAGTTGTCTACCACTCCCATTTGTCTCCACCCTTCTACCGCCACTCATACTTCCCCCTACAACCAACAAAACATCATCACAACTACTCAAAC